CTATAATTTTTATCTATAAAACATCCTATGAGTAAAAACCAAATATTTATAAATGTTTTTGGTTTGGTAGACAAATTATTTTCTTAAGTTGATAAAATAATGTAACTAAAATGGTTTTATTATACTTTTAAAGTTCTATACATTACATAATCTCATTAGAATAACTTATATCTAAGTACAGAGATTTTAAAATTAATTATTTTTATGTAAAATACATTTGTTTTCCTGTTTGAACCGAAGACACCACAGGGACTACTTTCGCATTACTTCCGCGGCKCCACCATCATTTATTAACAAAAAATAGGTAAAAATAAATTTCATTTAATAATTTACATCACCTTTGTCCCTTGTGAGATRCACATTTAAAATTATTTTATACATGAGTATGAAAAATAATAAACAAAAATAACATCGTCAGCTTGTAAAATACCTAAATAATTAGAAAATAATCCTAGGTTGAAATTAAGTTAAAAGAATGMAAATTTTGCACTATATTATAACGCATGCTAGTKCAGTAACAGCTCTAAAATGTAATAAATAGGTTTAAAATTAAAATGTTACCTGTCTTGCATAGTGTGCAAAACAACCCATTGTATCACTACATAGTCAGCGTATATGATTGAAGTATATGTGAATAATATACAAAAAATACCRCAAGGATCATTAACTAATTTCATCATCACTGTAGTCTGTAGATTTTGAACCAGACAAATTTGAATCACATTACTTTTAAAATACTATTTTTGATTACAACCTTAAACTTTGTTCCCTTCATATATAATGATAACCAAGTTTACCTACTTAAGGATAATATGCTTATTGCCTAGTGCTACAATAGGTACATAGTACATACTATTAAAAATTAATAATTACTGATAAATTAACAAAACAATAAAACGAACTGAAGTGTTCCTTGAAATATTCATGTTTCATATAAACTATAAAGGTAAACTATGKATAATAATAATAAAAATAATTGTTATGTATTATGTAATAAATGATAATCTATGATATAATATAGATGAGTATCTTTATAGTATCAACATTGAATTTGTTTTATTTGGTGATAAGCGTTTTGAGATAATGATAACAAATGGAAATAATAAAAATTATTTTACCTCCAAGGCTCCAAAAGAAATTATAAATGTACATTTGGTACACAATACATACAAGCATTACAAGCATTCAACAAACTGAACAAATCTGAAATCACTACCACAGTACCACATTAATAAATAACAGCGGCCGCTCCAGGCACAAAGCCCGTGGCCAAGCCTATATTTCTGGACTATCGAAAGTTGTATTATGTATGATGCGCCATTAATGTGTAATAGTTTATAAATTATAATACTTGAGTTGGTGTCAAATTATCAGTATAGTCACTATACTGTAAGATTGTGCTCACTCAATGGCTGGCCGCTGTTTATATGGCTGCATGTTACTTGCGTCCCCAAAAAAATAAATATTTTTCAGGTAGTAAATTTGACCGGTAAGTTGCGTCCCGTTTTGGGGGACGCAAGTCAGCCATATTATTATMATCGATATTATCTTCAAAAATC